CTCTTCCAGGGCGCCCGCGTAGCGCTCCATGGCGCCGGTAGCCCCAAGACGCGGCCCCACGGCGCGGCTACCCCTTTAACGTCAGCCTTTTACGTCCGACCAGAGCGCGGCGCGCCCCGCCCTCCTTTACGTCGACTAGATACGGAAGCCCCGCCCCCTTACGTCACGTCAAGCGTGACGCGCTCCTCCCTCTTTTGCGACACTGTCGAGCACGGCGGCCTCTGCGGGAGGGAGGAGAGGGCGTAAAGGGCGGTGCTCGCAGGACGTCTGCCTCCTGCGCCGTGCACGGCCAAGCGTAGGGTGGTTCTAGGGACCCATGTGCCGCACCCCCGACCCCCGCTGGGGCAGGGAACCACACCGGAGCTTCCTGGCCAGGACCGTCCCCAAGCTTGACCTGCACGTCCCCAGCTCCCTTGTACCCAGGACCCCTGATATGAGGCCTCGAGGCCTTCTGGTTGGAAGGAACAGCGCGTGCAGAGGCGTGCGCCAGAATCCAGGAGGTGGGCTGCGAGACTGACCCGGCTGCAGAAGCCGAGGGGCTGGGGTGGGGTTTGGGCCTGGAAGTTGCAGAAGCCCCAGGGGCTTGTCCTTACAGCAGCAGGGGTCTCTGAGGGGTCTGGGGGTACAGACAAGGTCAGACTGCCTTTTACAAAGCACTCTGGCTGCCGTGCTGGGTGCTCACTGTACTTGTTGGCTACACCAGACGTTTATTTCCTCACAGTCCTGGAGGCTGGAAGCCCACGATCAAGATGGGCAGGCAGGAGGTGAGATGTACCGGTTCAAGCTTGAGGCAGAAGGGAAGGGGTGTTGGATTCCTGCACTCCACCTTTTATGCTATCCAGGCCCTCAGTGTCCGCTCACATCAGGCAGGGCACTCTGCTTTACTGAGTCCACTGATGCAAATGCTAAAACCATTTGGAAACACCCGCACAGACACACTCTGGAATAATGTTTAACCCGGGCCCCTTGTGGACCAATTAGGCTGACACATGAAATGAACCATCACAGGAGCCCCGTGGGCTGATGCTCAGAGAACAACCTCTGAGCTTGCTAAAGGAAGACTGTTAGCTTTTAAGCTTCCAGCAAACAAAAAGCATCCAATATATTTGCTGCAGTATTGAATGCAGCTCATGCCTCAGGGGGATCTTGCTTAGCTCATTATATACAATCTCTTAAAAGGAATTCAAGTGGGGACAAAACCTAGGAATCTCTCAATAAGGTATATATATGGCTTTTGCACTTGGGCCGGTCAGCCCTGAGGAGCCTTTGAACTACAGGTGACAATGTCTGACAGACTATAACCTGTGGCAAAAAGAGGCGATCACTAGGTAAAGCACCTCCTGGGGTTTTGGGAATGGCACTAGCCAGACATCACTGACTCATCAGATATAATTAATAGGCTGTTAGTGGATACTGATGGATATCATGGACACCAAGAATAATGAGCAGCACTTTTTTTTTTTTGAGTTTTGCTATAGGGTGCCCAAGCTCGCCAGACAGAGACAGCCAGCAATCACCCATCGGGGAGATAGCCACGCTGCAGTCCCTTCTCCATTCTCCTCTCTGGATTTTGGGCATGCACACACATGCACCCAGTATGAGTTTCAAGCCTCCGGGTCCAGGACTTTAACCGCAGTCGACCATGTGGGAGTCCAGTGATGTAACCACTATGCTTTCTGCTGGTCTCAAGGGCAGATTTTCTTTTTTTTGGAGCAATTTTTGCTATAGGGCATGTGTGCTCGCCAGACAGACAGAGACAGACAGACTCGCCAAGAGCGAGAAATCACCCCCCCAGGGGGGATGACCACACCACAATCCCTTCTCCTCCATTCTCCTCTCGGGATCTTGGGCACGCATGCACACGTGCCCAGTGTGAGTTTAAGCCACCGGGTCCAGGACTCCAGCTGCAGTTGGCTACATGGGAGTTCAGCGACATAGCCATTACGCTAACTGCTGGCCCCTTTCTGTATCAGGTGGAATTGGCGTCTATATTAAGGGGACAGTGCCTTAGTGCTTGGGGTCAGCACTGTGATAAGCACAGCTGCAAGCCCAGCAGCATGACTGCTGTTGAGTCTGAGGAGTGGAAGGGATGAGTCCAGCTTGAGGCTGTGAAACAGTCTGGCTGCTAGACTGAGCTCATTACTGCACGGGGGGTGAGTCCAGGTGCAGGTCCGAAATGATCTGTGGATGATTCGAGCTTGGTGCTGATGTCATTGTTGAGTGAGCTGTTGGGTGAAGTCATCACAGGGAAGGAGACCAATATCAGGTAAGGTCATGAGGGGATGTGACAAGCTTGGGACTGACATTATTGGGAACGAGCCCGGTTGTAGGATGGAGTCATTACTGTGGTCACACCTGCTATCATATCCTAGGAGGGGATGCAGACCTGAGACACAGCATATCATTCAGTACCATTCAGTATCATATATCAGCTGAGAAGGTGTTCACAGACTTGACTCACGTGGGTCACTGTGTCTTACATGGCATCATACAATGACTGAGCAAGGGGATGCCAGCCTGAGTCACAGTATGTCACTATGTAGAAATGATGTCGTACAATAACTGGAAGAGGAAATGCAGGCCTGAGGTCATGTCATCATACAACGTATCACATGTCAGCCAAAAGAGGGTACCCACACCCAGGCCACACTGGGACACCATGTCACATAGAATGTCATAAGACCATTGAGATGATGGACACATCTGAGTCTCATTATGTCAGTATGTATTTGACAGTTGTCATGGGACAGCTGAGAAGTGGGAGGCAGAACTTTGTCACCCTCACACCCCACGTGACAGCTGAGAGAGGGAATTCAGGCCTCAGTCACATTATTTTCAAGGTCTCAGGTAAGCTGGAGGGAGACCTGAACTGCACATGTCAAAGGTCAAAGCAATCCCGAGCAAAAGGCTCCTGCAGTTCCATGGATGGGGTTGAGGTAAGAGTAGTGAGAAGGGCTGGAGGTGGCAACATGCCGGGTTCTGAGTCATTGTGGAGCAAGTGTCTTTAAGTAGTAAACAGAGCTATGGTTCCTGTGGGACACCATCAAATGGGCCAACATACACATGTGGAAGTCCCAGATGGAGACTATCCCAGAAGGGTTAGCCTTATTTATTTATTTATTTTTTAATTTAATTTTTTTGGGGGAGAGTTTTTTTGCTATAGGGTCCGTGCGCTCGCCAGAGAGACAGAAAGCAAGAAATCACCCCCCAAGGGGATGGCCACGCCACAATCCCTTCTCCATTCTCCTCTCAGGATCTTGGGCATACACACACACACACACACACACACACACACACACACACAGCATGTTTAAGCCACTGGGTCCGGGACTCAAACCTCAGTCAACTACATGAGAGTCCAGTGACATAGTCATTATGCCAATTGCTGGTTATTTAGTTAGTTAGTTGGTTTTGTTTGTTTGTTTACCATGGAGTATGTGCATGCCCTGGAGAGAGACAGAGAGAGATAGTGAGAGGGAAAGTGAGAAATGACCCCCAGGGGGTTGGCCACACCACAATCCCTTCTCCTCCACTCTTCTCCTGTGATCTTGGGCATGCAGGCACATGCTCCTGGCATGAGTTTCAAGCTGTCAGTTCCCAGACTTGATCTGTGGTAGGCCCTGTGAGAGTCCTGTGGCACCTGTTGGCCTCTGAGAAACTATTTGAAAAAAATAATGTCCAAAAACTTTATAAATTTGGTGAAAGACAGGAATATAAGCATCAGAAAAGCTCAACAAATTCCCAGTAGGATAAACTAAAAAAGACCCACACTGAGGCATTCAACTGTTGAAAGACAAAGAGGATCTTGAACATAGCAGGAAAGAAGTGACTACCCATGAAGAGGGTCCTCAATGAGATTCTAAGCAGATTTCTTATCAGCAACCTCAGGAGGACAGAGGCATTGGGATAATGTATTTAAAGGGCTAAAAGAAAAAAATGCCGGCACTGTGTAGCTCCGCTCACCGGGCCATGTCACCATGGAGCTCTGCAGCTGTGCCGATGGGACTCCCCAAGCGGGGGTTAGGACTCTCTGTCCCTGAAGGTAAAATTCTGGAAACCTCTACATGTGTCCAAGACCAAGATAATGAATACATTTTCAGATAAAAACAAAACGAATGAGGGGGAACCAGCAGTTAGTGTAATGGCTATGTTGCTGGACTCCCACGTAGTCGACCACGGTTCGCGTCCTGGACCTGGTGGCTTAAACTCACGCTGGGCAGGTGTGCGTGCGTGCCCAAGATCCCGAGAGGTGTGTAGTCATTATATTAGAAATAGCAAAGAATTTTACATTTCTCTACTTTGTAAAGTACATATGTATATATATACACACATTTAATTTTGCCAGAGGGTGTGTGCACTTGCAAGAGAGAGGAAAAAAAAAAGAATGAGGGACCAGCAGTTAGCGTAATGGCTATGTCGCTGGACTCCCATGTAGTTGACTGCGGTTCGAGTCCTGGACCTGATGGCTTAAACTCAGGTTGGGCGCCTGTGCGTGCGTGCGTGCCCAAGATCCCAAGAAGAGAATGGAGAAGGGATTGTGGTGTGGCCATCCCCGCTGGGGGGTGATTTCTTGCTTTCTGTCTCTCTGTCTCTCTCTGTTTGTCTGGCGAGCGCACGCGCCCTGTAGCAAAAACCTCTCCAAAAAAAAATAGAGGAAAAGTGAGAAATCACCCACCCCAGGGGATAGTCAAACTGCAGTCCCTTTTCCTCTCCTCTCCTCCTGGGATTTGGGGCTGAACATGTAGGAATCCGGTGCTTTAACCACCACCCCACCTACTGGCTGTTCTTAGCACTATTGGATTTTTGTAAAGTGAGAGCTGCTCAACTTACATAGGCAGCATGGAGAACGTATAAACCAAAAGGCAAAACACCATCAGGTAGGTATTATCAGCACAAAAATGCCAACAAAGGGGACATCTAACACATCAATCACGTTACCAGGGATTTCAGCTAGACTCCCAGGCAGCAGGAGAGGAGAGGTTAACTATTTTCCTTCTTCGTGCCATTCTGTATACATGCACAGGAATTCATCGGGATGCTTGGTCAACCTACTGTCCATTGGGGCGATAAACCGATATGGACAGAACCATGCCTACGCGGATGTTTATACCTTCAAAGTCTATCCTGGACAAGCGTAATCAGGTCATTGAACTCCTTACCTAAAGAGAAGTGAGAGAGGTCAGCAAGTGGCATAGTGGTTCAGGTGTTGGATTCTCACATGGCTGACCATGGTTCGAATCCCAGACCTGGTGGCTTGAAAATCACACCGGGCATGTGTACATGTGTGCCCCAAACCCTGAAAGGACAATGGAGGAAAAGGGGTTGCAGCATGACCGTCTCTCCTGGAGGGTGATTTCTCACTTTTCTTCTCATTGTCTCTCTCTGCTAAGTGCACGTGGCCTATGGCAAAAAAACTAAAAAAGAGAAAAAAAATGTATGCACAGATAAAAGCCTATGAATTCAAAGAAGCTGGCTACAGTGACAGACCCCTCTCCTAAAT